ACTTTCCATATGACGTCTGCAAATAGCCAAACAATACTGTGCACAAAAATGCCCTGCACAAGCACAATTCCACGGTGACCAAAGGATACTCACTGGAGTCGTTAGTTCGAGTAAAGCAATGGTAGATGAAAAGGTTGTGTTCAAAACAACTAAATGACTTCTAGTCAAAAACACATGCCCTGTGCTTAACTAATGACAAATACAGGGACAGGTGCTGTCCTTTAATCTCAAATAAGACTATACTACAGAAGATAAGCCACTCCTCAGTGCTGGCCAGGATTTGGGGATTCAGACACCCCCTCCCAGTTCTCCCTGGTGATGGCCAGGCCGCAGCTTCCCAGGGGCAGCATCTGGAGTGAAGGCTACTCTGCAAACTTGGGCTGTAGGGACCTTATCTTAAGGCCATCAGCCACCTGGGCCCCATGGAAACAATTAAAATCAGAGCTGTCCCCAAAGGGAAAAGGCAGAAAAAACTTGACCAGCTCTTTGTTCTGTCATGCTTGTAACACCCAAAAGAACACCACAGTAACGTTTTCAAAGGCCTCGGCTCCAATGAACCGTTCTCCTGGTCTCTTCTCTTCATATTTATTCCTCTGACTTCTCTTCCTTTCCCTGCCCTCCTTCAATTTATAAGCTTGAATCTCTCTGCATGTCTCTATGACCCCTTCAGAGGAAAGGCACTATGTCAATCTAATAGAAATAAATATTAATATTCATGTGCACACTTAATACCCAGAGCCTTTATGAGTGAGCCATATGGGGAGAAGGCAGTATATTATTTCAGGCTAGCTCTAGGGACCTATTTAGTGAACTCAAAAGGAGATGATTTCAGATCCTGAAGCCACTAAAAAAAAAAAAAAAAGCATGAGTGTTCAGGAGACCAAACCTGCCACTGACTAGTAGTCACATGGTCTACCCCATTTCCTTATCTATAAAAAGGGGACTTAGAAAATAAGCTCAATGCTACTTCACGTCTAAATGCATTAAAACAATAATCATCAATACTTAAGACATTATATGCCAGACACATCGTATACCGGACACTACTGCGGGTGCTTAACGTGCCTTAACCCAACCAATCCCCTCAATGACCGGAAGGGTAGGTGACCCCATTTTACAGATGGGAAAACACAATTGCAGAACCAGGATTTGAACACAGGCAGCCTGGCCTGTTTACAAACCAGAGTGGCAGCACAAGCCTCCTGTTGGACGGCCATTCTGTCATTTCAATGGGCGAGACAATGGAAATCCTAGTAGTGTGAATTCAAGTGGCTCTATGGAAGTACGGCTCTCACAGAGAACTCTATAGAGTTAACCCACTGGGATTATTCGAACACCACCAATACTCCTTTACAAACATTCCCTCTAAAGGAAAAAAATCAAGCCACTCCCTTAGAAGAGCCCTGAAAGGTGTGAGCAGACCATTGTAAAAATGATTTTGGCCTGCCCATCTTAAATGCCGTAAGGAAGACAGTTTCGAAAAAGTGCCTTTTTAAGGCACATTTGTTTCTTGGCAAATTTTACTTCTGTCGGCTGAACTCCCAAGTAATTGGTATTTGCTTTACATCTCAAGCGCCCAAATATTTATCCTCCGATTCAATTATTCATTGTTCCTTTTTACAAGACTCAGTCCCAAATGTGTACCATGTGATGTGAGCCACAAGATGGCGCTCTAATACAGGCAATGAACGTGTGCGCCTGGCTGGAGAGCAGAGAGGGCATTTCAGAGACAGTAACGTCCTCCCAGACAGGACCAACGGACCCCTACTGAGCAATTTGCTGTCTGACTACAGAATTTCGATATACTTACTTTCTGAGGAAATCTTCCAGACCCTGGCGACGCTGATCAACGTGTTGGCGATTGTTCATGTTGAAAAACAGGTTTTTAGATGGAAGTTCTGGCAGTTGTCTTATGAGAAAGAAAAAAAAAATTCTTAATGACCAAATCAAGGTGACTTAGTTACAGAAATCCCTTAAAGTGAAGGGAAATTATGCATGATAATAATTAGCACACAGCTATTATATATGCAGAAATCAATTAACTTTTTTTAAAAAAATCTTTAAATATGTTTTGGGTCTTTCATGGTCAATATTTGTGAAAACATGGTAAATTTCAAATTCAGATGCAGTAGCCTCAAAACTAAGTCATATAGGCAATCAAGAAGCCAATAAATCATTTGTATTTTATATACTTAATGCATATCAATCTAACAATGTCTGTCATAATAATAAAGTCTCCTCAATATGTTCTTTAAATCACTTACACCAGCAATGCATTATTTTGGAGTCTCTGCCTCAGCCACACAAATTCTCTATATCTTCTTCGTACACAGGATGTCTTCATTGTAAAACACATGCTATTAGTCTGTGTAAAAAAATAGAAAAATAGGATCTTCACCTGAGGAAAAAATGCTTTCCTTATAACTCATAATAAGTTTCAAATATTCATGCTAGATAGGATGTAAACCACCAAAAATATATTTACATTTATGCCAATACTCTGCAATCTTGCATGTAACTCACCAAAATCTCAGCCCTGAGGTCAACCAAGATGGCATTCGTGAGAAATGTGGTCCCAGACTGTGCATGGCCCAACCACACCCTGAGCCCTGAAGGAGTCTCCTGCTCACCTAACTATGAGCATTGCCATCAAGGATGAATTACAAAAAAAATAATAATAATAAACAAATTCTAAAATGCCAATGACCATTAAGAACTCCTTGACATGGCTGTTCCTAGGGATCACACAAGTCACCAGGTATCCTGAAATCACTGCTCCACTGGAGAACAGCATTTCTCTTCTCTACTGGACACGAGGGGGAATGCAACCCAAGTCAAGAGGGAGGTGCAGGGTGCGTGGGGATGGGCATGAGCACACAGGCAGAATAGGCAGATCCAAATTCCAGGCTTGGTTCTGCTAAAGGGCAAGTCACTTGAACTTCAGTTTCTTGAGTGATGAAACAGGGACGGACTAGTACATACTTATTTTACAGGGTGGTTGTAAAGATTGACAAGAAGCACTTGACAAATGTTATCTACCAACGTTATTATTAGAACAGTTGGTTTCCTTGAAGCTATCCTGAGACAGACTTGGAAAAAGCCACCCAATCTAAGCTAAGCCCTAACTAATGCTTCTCCTTAGGGTAAACACAAGATGGGTAAATACTATTCTTTGGGAAAAACAAGAAACTGACAAATATTTGTGTCTACTGGTTTCAAAAAAATAATAATAATAATACTCCTATTCTCTATTTACTCTCTATATTTGTATGAAACTCTATTTCATAATCTTTACAATTCCAAATGAGAAACTTATTTTTCCAATAAGACTTGTATTATTTCAAAAATTATTACTCTGCCAATTAATAAGATCAGCAGCTGTTTTCCTTGGGAGATCTAAGTGATTAAGGGTAACTGTTCCCATGAAATGTCTGACATAGTACCTGATATGTGTGAACTTTATAAAGTTCAGAAAACCTCAGGTCGCAGAGAAGTTAAGAGGTTCGCCTTCATAGGAGCCACTGGTCTAAATACCATCTTTGCTGACCAGGTCGCAGAGAAGTTAAGAGATTCACCTTCACAGGAGCCACTGGTCTAAATAGCATCTTTGCTGACATGGCAGCAAATGTGCTAGAAGGAGTCCAGGGCACAATAATGTTCTGTGGATGGATTTCCTAGCACACCAAGGTCTCACTTTGAGGTGCTCCTCAGGGACTAAGCAAGCAGGCTGTGTTACACCAGAATTAGAGTCCTAATGAGGTTTGGGCAGATCCCCTCCCAGTATCTTCCCCCCAGAGAAGACCAGGCCACGGCCGTGCCTCCTGACATCCCCAGCACAGGCTGAGTCAACTTAAAATTCCCTTTAATTTCCCACCTCACAGTCACTGGATGTTAGTAAACAAAGATCCACCCTCATACCTAGACCAGAATAAGGTCTATCTATGAGCCCTTTCATTCACAGGACAGGTTCACTAGAATATGAAATATATATATATGTACTACCCAGCTCTATCACCTACTACTTTAAAATTCCAAGTAAATGTCAAAATTTCAGAGTCTCCTGATATTACTTCCCTTGAGGTTAATTTAAGCAAGTTAATCACCAACTTCTCTAAGCAAAGCTCCATCAGTACAGCATCTAACCAAAGCCATCTAGAACTCTCCAGCCCCATCATCCACTTTGAATTGTACGGTGGGCAGGCGCCTCTTCAGCATCAGACCATACTGAGATCACTAACTGATGAAGTTCCTTGGAATCTGTTGGCTAAGATTTGTTCATTGTCAATTTATTAGCATTTCAGAGAAGTGCCAGAATACCACCAAATAATTTGTGGAGCCCCATAATATGGGGCTCCAGATACAGGTTTCTGAATTCGAGGCATGGTATTCACTAGCTTTTCACTATCTCCGGAGAATAATTAAATTTCATGCCTCCCATAAGGTGGGTGATAAGGACTCACAATTTTTCAGAGGCAGTTAAGGGCAACTAAAGAATATCATTGCATTTCAAATGCTTATTCTTATATGCTCATAATTTTCCACACAGAACATACCTCTGGTGTGAGCTTATGAATAGAACCAAAAGAAAATAAAAATATATAGCATACCCTCACAAACGTCTGCAATGCAACCACTAACTACAGGCAGTTCTGAGTTTTAATTTGGTTTATTTCCTAAGTTGGGAGAATTTTGAAAAGAAAAAAGATAATTTTATGGCTGGTGTTGGGATGTCTAATATACCAACTTAGCTGTTCACACTGATAAGATTAAATGATGGCTAAATTTTATTTCACTTGTGTTTCGTTGTCACAGATAAATTCTGAGCCAGTTCCTATACTCCTAAGAGAAGTCTGGACTAAATAAATTGGGAAAAGAGACTATCTTCAAGATCCAGGGCCAATAAACCACAGCCCATGGTCCCAGTCTGGCCTGCCACTGTCTTTGCAAATAGTTTTACAAAGCACAATTGACTGGTTCACTCATGTACGGTCTGAGGCTGCTTCTAACCTCCAACAGCAGAAACGGTGGCTGAACAAAACAGAGGCAAAGGTATTCAGTGCCTGGCCCTCCACGGGAAAACTTTGCTGAGCTTTGTTCAAGATGATCACAGAAGGCCACACACCACAGAAACCATTCAAGAGATTACGGTACGCGGTTATTTCCAGATAAGGTATATCATTTCTAATTGCCTACTCCTGATGCTAATTACTCAGAGTCTAGATTAAGGCAAAATAATTGCATATATTCATTTCCCACTTTCTGATTCTGTGTATAAAATATTACCCTTCCTTTTCCCAGGAACTCTGTATCCTCTCAAAACTTCAGGTTTATCATCCAATATATTCTCCAGAAACACATTATAACAGATCATAAAGAAATATCATTAATGGGGTATAAATACTCTTAAGCCATGAATTTTAGATGTATTCACATCTTTATAAATGAAGGCAATAAACATTAAAATATTAATATTTTTAAAAGGTGCAAAAAGGATGTAACTAAGAATTTTTCAGCTGTAGAAATCATCTTATTACTTCATTTAAGACATAAGCATTAGTTGTAACCATTCAAATTTAGCTCTTTGAATTAGGAAAGCTTTTATAAATTTTAATTTTAATTATCTCAGAGCAACCCATAAAACAGATGCTGCCATAAAATTTCTGATTTCCATTGACCACAGATTGCATACTTACATGGATACATATCTCATAGTCAATATATGAATGCCAAAAGTCCTCCTTCTGAATCCTAGGATCTCGGACCCAGACGCTGACAAATTCCTGTAAGGGCATCGCAAAGAAATGTGTTTCAGAATGGCAAGTAAAGACTGGAAAGATCTGAGAGAAATGACTGTATGAGAACAACATTAGCCAATGAACGTGTCATACTTAAAAAAAAAAAAAAGAAGAAGTAAAGTTCATGAATCAGGCACCACAAGCAAGTTCAGAAAACACTTAGCCACAAGTGGAATTTTTAAAACAATGTAAAACTGACCAGACCTGCTTATAGATAATGTTATAGGTAACTGAAAACAAACAGAAAGATATGCTCTAAAACTTATTTTTAACTTGTAATCATAAAAAAAAAAAGTTCATAGTTTTCACAAATTTTAAATGCAGTCATTTCTTACTTTCATTATCTCTAAATTAAAACTATAGGCCATGTCTGGCAGATTTCTTTCTGGAACACAAATAAGGAAAGGCAGCCAAGGTCAGGTGCAAAGTAAGCAGTGAGTTGAAACTGACTATGTGTGAGCAGCCCAGCCTTGAGAATCTGCAGTGGTGACTTACTGGAAAGATGAACACCCTCTCTTACACAAGACTTTCCTATTTTTAAAATATATTTCCGACATATTAAAGCAATTCATTCTCATATATTTGTGTTCCAAGTAAAAGAGATGTTTAAAAAAAAAAAAAGCATCACTATGGTTAATTTTTGTGCCCCTTTTTAAAGATAAGAACAGGCAATAGGAGATGGCATTGAAACCAATACTTTTTAAAAAGTGCTCTTTACTAAGTTTAAAATATGAAAACATATGCAGCAAAAGAGTATTGTTTGGCATCATAAATGTTCATATATAACTCATTCACTCAGCAATCACGAATTTGCTAATTGAATTTTAAATATTTTAACTTTTTGTTAAGATTGGGTCTGTCAGCTGACACACAGTCCTCTCTGTCTGGTTTTAGCACATCCAAGAGGCAGACTGAGAGTCTGAGCCCAGGTTCTTTCCTCTTAGTGTACACTTTGCACCAGTCACCTGTCGCTGTGGGTGTGTATTTAAACTGATTTTCCTGTAGTACTTTCTTATGCAGATAATAAAATGGGAGCTTTCAGTCCAGAGTATATTTTAAAAGCAGCAAATGAGTCCATATTCCCTGAAAATACCTTTCTGCCACCTATCAAGTATCACCTTCTAAAGCATTATATGCTTGATTCTTGTATTTGAGACTC